AAAAAAAAAAAAAAAAAAAGAATCAACAAAGTAGTGGTAAATTCCAAAATAATGAAATACAGGCTGGGTGTGGTGGCTCATGCCTGTAATTTCAGCGTTTTGGGAGGCCGAGGCGGGTGGATCACCTGAGGTCAGGAGTTTGAGGCCAGCCTGGCGAAACCCTGTCTCTACTAAAAATACAAAAAATTAGCTGGGTGTGGTGGTGGGCGCCTGTCATCCCAGCTACTCAGGAGGCTGAGGTAGGAGAATCGCTTGAACCCAGGAGGTGGAGGTTGCAGTGAGCTAACATTGCACCCACTGCACTTCAGCCTGGGTAACAAGAGCAAAACTCCGTCTAAAAAAAAAAAAATACACACACACACACACACAAAACAAAACAAAACAAAACAAAGAAACCAAAATAACAAAATGCAGGTTTTAGAAGACCATGAGCATATTAGTCACCCTTCTGCAATCCTAAGGTTGATTCACACAGTCAAATTTAGGTACATGTGAGACAGTCTCAAACCCCGGATCCAAAGATTATAGATCTGCCCATTCAGTTAGACTTATCTGGGTATAGCAGATGGCACATCAGATAAGGATCCCTTGAGCCCAGGAGTTTGAGATAAGCCTGGGCAACATGGCGAGACCCTGTCTCTACAATCTTTTTTTTCTTTTTATTAGCCAGGTGTGGTGGCACAGGCCTGTAGCCCTAGCTACTCAGGAGCCTGAAGCAGGAGGATTGTTTGAGCCAAGGAGGTCAAGGATGAAGTGAGCCATGACTGCACCACTGTACTCTAGTCTGGGTGACAGATACAAGACCCTGTCTCAAAAAACAAAACAAAACAAACAAGAAAACTCATAATATTATACATTTCTTGGCTCAGTGATAAACATCATTTACATAATAAACACTGACTATTGTGAAACAGGTCTTTTGGAATAAAGGGGAGCGGAAAAGTAGGGAGTGAGGTGGGTGGAGGGGGCAAGAGCTACACATCCAACTTCCATAACAGGAAGTCAAAAGATAATTTCTGAAACAGGTGAATCAAGAAAAATCATTAAAAATTAATATTTAAAAATTGGAGGCAAAATGAAAGAAATACCTCAAATATTCCAAGTGATTCACTGTCTCTGGAAACTGGTCTGGGAAGAATCAGGGGCAGGACTGCTGCTGCTTGTTAGAAGCTTTTGTTAGCATTATTTCACTTTGAAACCACGTGCATGCATTGCTTTGATAAGATAAAAGTAGGGTTAAAATAAGAGCTCTTAACAAATAAAAGATGCACTAACCTTTTGTTTCAGTTCATGTGTATCACTGAAAATGAATTCAATCACATACGGCATCTCAATAGACATAGTCAAAGAGAAGCTACCAAAAATGAAGAGAAAGTTGTCTCAGTCTATGATCTGAAATTTCTATCTGAAATTATTTCAAACAATTCTAAATGGAAATTTAAACCAGAAAACTAATATACATTGAATGATTAATTGACAGGTTTTATATTTTAGGTACTAACCTTTGCTTTGTTCCTATTTCTTTTATACAAATCTTCTCTACTGTATCCTGTTAAAAGAAAAACATATTTGTATAACTAAGCATATATTAAGTTTCACAATGAGACTCTAAACTGAATGTAATCTTGGCAAGGACACAACTGTCAGCAAGACAGCTGGTTTCACTTTCAAGTAGAGAAACACAAAGTTTGCTCATGGAATGACAGGAACTTCTAAAATACAACTGACCATTTTGACAGAGATTTTAAAACTCTACATATGTCTGTGTATATATATACACACACACACATTTTATACATGTGCTGTACATACAAAGTAGGAAGTTTGGAGGGATACACCAAAGCATTAACTAGTAGCTATGTCTGGGCGATGGGATAAAGGATGATTTTAATTTTTTTATTTTGGCTTATTTGTATTCTCTGTGCTTACCTAGTTCTTCATGATGAACATGCACTACAGATATAACATGTTTTGAGTGATTAAGCAGAATAACAATATGCTTATTGATCATATCTGTATCTTTTATTCTTTTCATTTTATACACATAATGTATCTAAATGCATGTCAGTAAAATTGACTTTATGCCTAAAAGATTATTTTCCATGCTTTTCTCCCCATGCATAAATTCCTCCACAGCCCTCCACTACCCTCCCTCCACTGCTGCCAAAATGCTTTTTCAAATTTTATGCGTACAAACCTGAAGGTTTTCATTCAAAGCCTTGTCCTGTTGCCAGGGCGCTACGGTGGCGGGCATGAAGAAGACACCAACAGTGCCCAGGATGCTGAGTTCTGTGATGTAGGTAATTTTTATAAGAACCTTAGCCTTAGGGGGTAAGTTTCCAACACTTACAGTAAAAACATCCTGAAACAGAAACATATTGAAAGCATACTCATTATATGCCAGCTAACTCCATGTACTTCTTAAGGAACTTGAACAACAACCTGCCAAATTCTTCCTCAGAAAAACAGTAATAAAACCTAAAAGACACATTGGTGAGGCTAGCAGAGAATCCTGGAGCCATTTACCAGTGATGGGAACAGGGTGATGTCTGCGGCAGGCAGACGGAGAGGGGCCCCCTTGGCAGCTGAACTGGGAAGAGGCACTCACGGACTCTGCCCCGAGGGCTCCGATGTGTGAGCTCCCTGCACAAGTGGGCCCTGCTGCACAGACAGCCTCCACAAAGCCCTTTCTTGAAGACCCTCCCTGACCTCCACGGCACCCAACACCACTTTTGCCAGCAGCTGTAGAACAGGGCAGTTTTTTCTAAGCTTGGCCCTTGCTTAATTGTTTTACCCTATGGTAATTTCTCATGTTATTTTTATTTTTATTTATTTATTTTTTAGAGATAGGATCTTGCTCTGTCATCCAGGCTGGAGGGCAGTGGTGCAGTCATAGCTTAGTAGCCTTGAAACCCCAGGTCTAAGCCATCCTCCTAAGTAGCTGGGACTACGGACACGCACCACTATGCCTGGCTGATTTTTAAATAGTTTTGTACAGATGGGGTTGCCCAGGCTGGTCTCAAACTCCAGGCCTCAAGTGACCCACCTTGTGCTCCCAAAGTGCTGGGATTACAGGTGTGAGCTACCACACCCAGACTATCATGTTATTTTTAAATAAAAAGTCTTCAGCTTTCTTTTAATGGGATGTTGATAATCACTATATAAGGCGGCAACCCCATGACTAGCTAGTGCAGAAAAAAGAGGCTAGATGCATTTTTTCTGATAACTACGCAGAGATCCTCTCAACATCCCCAACTATGTTCACCATTCTAATTGACCACACTATCATGAAAATTTTCTATATTTAGATTAGAATTAATTTAGACTTAAAGGTTAAATTGTTACTTTTGACATCAAAGACATCCATTTACAGGATGGAAATAAATAATAAAGAGGTGATTATTAAATACTTAATAGTGCTAGCCCTTAAAAGAAATGTATGTATAAACACCTGGGGTTCATTTGAGAGACTGCCACTTAATAGAGTGGGATTGAAGTTCTGTTTCTGGGCAGGATATAGATGGATGCAGATAATGTCACTTCTGCTATAACACACCAGGCAATCTACAAAATCATAACTTGTCTTGAACTCATCAACCAAGAGAACTGAATTCCAAAGAGGGGACAGATGGGACACAGGAACTGTGTGAACTCCTCCCGGCTGAGAGTGGGTAAGCTTGCTGGTTTAGAATTGGGAGCTCCTGACCCAAGGGGAGTTTGCATTCTCTCCCAGGCATTTCCCCACATCCCCACAGCCTTCCATTGGGCCCACTGGAAAGGCTGGGCAGGACAGGAGACCAAGGGGGAGCACCTCTCAGTGGAGCAGGTGTGGGGCCACTTCCCTGGATCCTTTTTGCTTCCCCACATGAAGCAAAAGCCTCCAGCTGCTGGGGGAGGGGCAGCAAACTGTCACTTCCAAAGCTGCAGGAAAGGGGCAGAAATAAACCAGGGATCGATCAGAAAAGCCTTCCTTACTAGCCCCGTGCCCAGGTGCTTGAAGAGTTTCTTTTCTTTTCTTTTTCTGTTCCACTGCTTCAGAGAGGAACAGCCACCTCCCCATGGGGCAGGGGATGACACCCTCCTAGGCCCAGGACCCTGCACTAGTACAAAGCAGGGGTTGCTACAACTGGAGGAAAGGCAGGAAACTGTCCCCCAAACAACTCTTAACAGACACAAGGCAGAATTTGGCTGCCACTAAGGTAGGACAACGAACGGAAGTGCTAAGAAGTTCCCACCCTAAGGTCCAGGACTGCAGGCCCTGCCTAAGACTGAGGCTGAACCAGAAGAATGCCCCTGCCCCACCAGGAGCCTAGTACAGCACATCAAGCAACAGCAGCCTAGCACTGGGGGAGGGAAAGAGTTGCTGTAACCACCTCTGTCGGACAGTGTGCAGGGTCTGCTGAAAGCTGGGGGCAGAGAATGAACCTCAGTAAGAATAGTACCGGATCCAGGACCCAAGAGGCACAAGGTAGTGGCAGTCCACCACTAGAGGAATTTGAGACTGAGAGTAATAATAACAATAGAGAGTAATGATAACAACAGCAGAACTCAAACTCAGCTCTTCAGCCCCTTCAGCTCTTCAACCTCTGCACTAGTCTGAAAGAACAGGAGTAGCCATTTCTGGGCATAAATGCTATTTATTTCCGTCTCTCTTCTTTTATGCACAATGTCCAACATTCAATCACAAATTCCAAAATACACACATTTTTAAAAAGCAAGGAAAAAATGACCCAATGTCAAGATAAAGCAATTAACAGGCAGATCCAGAGATAACCATGACAATGCAACAGACAGCACTATGATTAATATATGAAAAAACATACAGAAAAGGTGAGGAATACATATGAATAGATGGAACCTTTCATTAGAGAGACTGAATTATATTTTTAAATGTCAAAAATGCTAGAAACAAATACACTATCAAAGTTGAAGGATTTGACAAGCCCATCAGCTGACAATAGCTGAGAAAAGAATGAATGAACTTGAAGCTAGGTCAATAGAAATTATCCAAAATAAAATGCAACAAGAAATAAAAGTGAAAACACAGAGCTCTAAAAGCTGTGGTGCAATATCAAATATGGTCTAACATATACGTATTGAAGTCTCAGAAGGAGAAAGAGACAGAATGAGGGAGAAGAAATATTTCAATAGATAAGGGTCAAGACTGTCCCAAAATGAATGTGAGACAATCCAAACTCAGAGAAATCCAAGCAAAATAAGCAATACATTTTAAAAATAACATAAACACATCATAGTCAAACCACTGAAAACCAAAGATAAAGAGAATATTGAAGATAGCTTGAGAAAAAAGATACCTTCACATATAGAAGAACAACACAAGAATTAGAGCTGACTTCTGGTCAGAAACCATATAAGCCAGAAGACAATAAAGCAACATATTTAAAATGCTGAAAGGAAAACAAACTGTCACCTAGAATCCCATACTCAGCAAAAAAATATTTTTCAAAAATGAAGGTGAAAGATTCTGTGAGATAAAAGAGGAACGCACTCCTCGCTAGCACACTTGCACTAGAAAAAGGAAATAAAGAAAACTCTTCAAACAGAAGGAAGATTTCTTTGTATCTGTACAAAGAAATGAAGAGCACCAGAAACGGTAAAAATGAGAATAAACGTAGAGACATTTCCCCTTATTTTTAATTGCTTTAAAATATAGTTGATCATCACACAAACAGAACTAAAGACAAAAGCCACATGATTACCTCACTAGACACAGAAAAGGTCTTTGTACAATTCAACATCCCTTTATGTTAAAAACTCTCAGTTAACCAGGTATTCATGGAACATATCTCAAAATAATAAGGGCCATTAATGACAAACCCACAGCCAATATCATACTGACTGGTCAAAAGCTGGAAGCATTCCCTTTGAAAACCGGCACTACACAAGGATACCTTCTCTCACCACTCCTATTCAATATAGTATTCAAAGTTCTGGCCAGGGCAATCAGGCAAGATAAAGAAAATAAAGATTATTCAAATAGGAAGAGAGGAAGTCAAACTGCCTCTGTTTGCAGATGACAAGATCGCATATCTAGAAAACCCCATTGTCTCAGCCCAAAAGCTTCTTAAGCTGATAAGCAACTTCAGCAAAATCTCAGGATACAAAATCAATGTGCAAAAGTCACAAGCATTCCTATACACCAACAACAGACAAGCAGAGAAGCAAATCATGAATGAACTCCCATTCACAATTGCTACAAAGAGAATAAAACACATAGGAATACAGCTAACAAGGGAAGTGAAGGACCTCTTCAAGGAGAACTATAAACCACTGCTCAAGGCAATCAGAGAGGACACAAACAAATGGAGAAACATCCATGCTCATGGATAGGAAGAATAAACATCATGAAAATGCCCATACTGCCCAAAGTAATGTATAGCTTCAATGCTACTCCCATTAAACTACCATTGACATTCTTCACAGAATTAGAAAACACTAGGTTAAAATTCATATGGAACCAAAAAAGAGCCTGTATAGCCAAGACAATCCTAAGCAAAAAGAACAAAGCTGGAGGCATCACACTACCAGACTTCACACTATACTATAAGGCTACAGTAAACAAAACAGCAAGGTGTAAGTACAAAAATAGACACATAGACCAACGGAACAGAATAGAGATCTCAGAAGTAACACCACACATCTACAACTGTCTGATCTTTAACAAACCTGACAAAGACAAGCATTGGGGAAAGGATTCCCTATTTAATGAATGGTGCTGGGAAAACTGGCTAGCCATATGCAGAAAATTAAAACTGGACCCCTTCCTTAAACTTACACAAAAAATAATTCAACATGGATTAAAGACTTAAATATAAAACCAAAAACTATAAAAATTGTAGAAGAAAATCTAGGCAATACCATTCAGGACATAGGCATGGTCAAAGATTTTATGAGGAAAACATCAAAAGCAATTGCAGCAAAAGCAAAAAACTGACAAATGGGATCTAATTAAACTAAAGAGCTTCTGCACAGCAAAACAAACTATCATCAGAGTGAACAGACAACCTACAGAATGAGAGAAAATTTTTGCAATCTATCCATCTGACAAAAGTCTAATATCCAGAACCTACAAGGAACTTAAACAAATTTACAAGAAAGAAAACAACTCCATTAAAAAGTGGGCAAAGGACATGAACAGACACTTCTCAAAAGAACACATTTATGTGGCCAAAAAAAATAAGAAAAAAAACTCAACATCACTAATCATTAGAGAAATGCAAATCAAAACCACAATGAGATACCATCTCATGCCAGGCAGAATGGCAATTGTTAAAAAATCCAACAGATGCTGGCAAGGCTGTGGAGAAATAGGAATGCTTTTAGTCTGTTGGTGGGAATGTA